ATGGTTTCAAGCTGCACCAAGGAAGATTCAGGCTGGATATTAGGAAATACTACTTCTCTGAAAGAGTGGTCTGGCACTGGAATGGGCTGCCCAGGGAGGTGGTGGAGTCACCGACCCTGGAGGTGTTCAAGGAACAGCTGGATTTTGTGTTGAGGGACGTGGTTTAGCGAGAACCGTTAGTGATAGATGGATGGTTGGACTGGCTGATCTTATAGGTCTTTTCCAACCTTAGTGATTCTGTGATTCTGTGAAAGATACTTTCTGCTAATGATTTTTCCCACATTTCCCAAATTACCCAAGGAGACACTTCTATTTAATATACTTCCTTAATATTCAAACAGCATCTTTGTCAGCTCTTGACACTAAAATATTCCAGAGAGGACTACTTGCAAACTACTTGCTTCAAGCACACCTTCCATTACACTGTATTAGCTAGTGATACACTGGAGTGGGATTAGTCTGACAAGGATTCCTTCAGCTTCCTGATTAACATAATCTTTTATACACAGAAGGAGAGAAAATAAAGGAATTTCCAGATGACAATGCAAATGTTCTCTAAAAATCTTTGCCCATAGAGATCTGTGAGCTTTTACTGTGTACACGTAAGGATCCATAAGCATGAAACAGCTTGCTAAAGCAAGGTGTTTGGGACTAATACACATAATGCTAACATACACAAAGGTACAGGCGGTCCTGTTATTTTTTTTTTTCCCCAAATAGTCTTATAAGCATTGCAAAACCAGAAACACTTATACAGAAGTGAATAATAAGAAAAAAGGCTAAGAGACTCACAGAAATATTCTCCTGTGTTGTATGTGGTCTAGGTATACTTTTAATCATGCAGTGATAATGGATGCTCACTTTCCAAACCCCACAAAGATTTCCCAGAGAATCATTCAAAGAAGTCAGCTAGTAAGTTTGGAAGAAGAAATCCTCACCCAGTCTTCAATGAGAATAGGGCATCATCCACTCCCCTCTGATTGAACTTCACCATGTAGCTGTGCATTTCAGGGTAGTTGTTGCGAATGTTTCTTTCTGTGCTGCCATTGGGAACTGTCCCAAAGCGGAAAGGGGGTGAGAAGTCATTGGGTTTCTGGAACTGCAGAAACAGAAAAAGAACATTGCTCACAATCATCCATCAAGAAACAGTCATCTGCATGGGAGAACACACTCTCCTTAGAGACCCTGTGCCCATTGCAACACAGAATGTAGCTCTGATTTTATTTTACTATTAGATGGAACACATTATTGAAAAGATACTGTATTTCACTGTTTTCAAAGACAAACATTTCCTGTTAGTGTCCAAGAAGTAAAATGAGCAATTTGGTCTTCTGTCCACTGTGGATAAAGTACATATGTGATCAAAAACTAAAAGGAGTTTAGATATAAGTAAAAACAAAAAGGGGGAAAAAAAAGGTACCAACGTCTTTGCAACATGGTAAAATAAATCTTTTCAATAAAATCAATGTGAATTTTACCCACATAGTGTCATTTAGTTTCTAAGAAGTATCTATTTCCATTTTATTGACGCCTTTGCATTTCCTGATTCTGACTCAAGTGAAAAAGCAATTAATGAGGAGAGATGCCACTCCAAACAGCTCTCACCCACTTCACCAAATAAAGGATCAGCTTTCAAACTTTTGGGCAAATGTCCCAAATGAAATTCTATTAGTGGTTACAAGTCACTAGTAACATTTGATGCCCAGAACAGAGCTGGCAGAACGCTCACAACCTTTTGCTGCTCCCAAGAAATACATTCATCATAACATTCAGCTACAGCTGCAAGGCTGTGAGATTTTATATGCCACTTGCTTAACTCAAGTCATAATCAATGCTCTCTGGGGTTTTATGAGCAGTAAAATTTAGACTGTCAATTATCAAGACTGCTTAAAACCCCTAAAACCAGTAGATGGAAAGCGGCACAGAACTGTAAGCCAGGAACTGAATAGGCAGTAAAAGAAAAGATGCAAAAATCAGATGGATGGAAGGCTCTCTTAATACATCAAACAGTGCTAGTTTGGGGCTCTCAAATGTGACTGTATATTTGTATAATCTTAAGAAGCATGCTAAGAACATGATATCAAGCCAAACCCATTTAACAGTAACAGTTCTCCTCCCACATCTGTCATGCACTGCTGTCTTCTGTGGTGGAAATGTGGCTACCGTCTATAGCTATACCTTCAAAAGCATGCTGTCAGGTCTACTATTAAGTTCTGCTCAAAGCTAGTCTGAAACTTGCTCGACCCAGCTGAGGAGTCCAAAGCTACTAAAGCAGAGTACTCATTCAGAGCATTTAAGAACAAGGTCAACAAGGGCTTGTGCCCGTGGATAGGCTGACGGCACATTTCACATCACCAAAAGGAATTTATTGCATCTATTCCTCTAAATCAACTCATCAGCTGTGCAGGGAATCACACCTCATATTCAGGTGGAGAGAATGGACTGGTTCATATGTACATACGTGCATGTGAGATAGAGTACATGCCCTGCTGCTTTAAGCCAGTAGGAAACATCAGATATGTTCTTTGAAACACAGATTGGCATACCACCAAAAAAAAGAGAGGTTTCATATAGCATAAAATAGGCAGTAAGGTGCCTCTTAGAAACTTGTCAGACTCTCAAGGGATGAAGACAAATTCAAAGCTATCAAAACCTGTACTGAAAGCAAATTTTGATGGGAGAAAAATCACTGCAGCATAAAAAAAAATTCTTTCTTACCACGCTGGTTATAGCAGCAGCTTAGGAGACCCATCACAAGACATTTCAGGCTAAAGGAATACAGTTTCTCTCCTGACATGCTGAAACTGGAGTTTCCAAAGTGGGCAGCTTGCTTCTTCAGAGGCTGTAGAACCCAAACTTTCGGGCAGAATAGGAAGCTGCCATCCACAAAGAGCCCTCCAACACAGCAAAGCCAGCAGGGTAAGCAACAGGCAGGCCTGATAAATATTCAACTTCAGCATGCCCTTTGGAAAGGCATCAGCTATGAGAGCTTCTCTCGGGGCTCACAAAATATTAAGGGAAGGAGAGGCTACATCCAACATCCATTTTATGCCTCCTCCCTCCATCCCTATTGATGCAACCTCAAGATTTGTCTCCTTCCAACATTGGCCATGAACTGGAGCAAAAAGGGAATATAGGGTCAGGCAAACCTGTGATAGGGAAAACAAGCCCTCCTCTGAACAACCCTTTATTTTCCCCAAGTTCCAGGGCCCCCCATTAGCACCAGCCAGGTAGGGGTAAAATGCTCTGTATTTCATTTTTAACATTCTGGGCAAATAATAAATAAATGAAAACATTCCTCTTGAGGAAAAGGACTGTTTCTAGCAACTGGAAAAGCATGCTTTCAGAGAAAAAAAGGCAGGTTGATGGCTTCTGCAAACCCATGCTTAGCTTATGATGATGTTAGCTTATCATTCCTCACTCCCTATTAATCAGAATAGTCAGAATAGATCTGCGAATGCAAACTCTTCTTCCTTTTCTTCACACACCCTTATGTGCACATACTTCAACCACAGAGTGGTGGACAACAAGACATGGAACAGTTGGAGAGGATCCACATGGGACCCACAACGGAGATCTTTAGCTTGCATGTCTAAGAGGAGCACACATGCTCATCTCCAGCCTCCTGGGTTTGTGTTTGCAAAGTTGAAAAAAATTGATGCCCAACAACTCCACAGTCCATGAAGCCAGAGATAGGCAGCTATTTCTCCACATTTAAGGACTAATACTGGTACTGGCATACAACTGTCTATCAGGAAATAGCAGCTGAAAATTCCTTGTACTTACTGCTTGGCAGCACATGGGCACAGCTCAGACTAGAGATGGAAGGATCTCCAAAGAACTCTCCAGAGCCAGAAATAGCTGCATCTTTCTGAGCTTTGTTGTGCCCCACATAACTCATAGCAAAGGAGCAAGAAGAGTTGTAAACATGCCCATGAATGGGAAAACATAGGGATTGATGAGGAAGGTGTATGTTCTCTCATGGCAATGAGGTGGAGGAATTTCTGTGGAAGTACTATAAAAGACTCATAATGAATAAGGTTAATTGGCACTGCTGTCAAAGAGTTTAGTAATGAAAGACATTCATATGGCTTTTCCAAAGGGCTGGGAGAGTGGGTCTAGCCCAAAGATGTCAGCCTCAGGAAACAAGGACGCTTTGGCAGACTGGCCTAGGAGGAGTCTGAGAGATGTGAGACAGAAGCAGAGGCACAATGCAGGCGCTATTACGCGGAGACAGTCAATGCAGAAGTAATCTGAAGGCTTCAGTAAATATTGATAAAGGAATTAACTGGAGATATTGACAGAAATGGTCTGAATTTAGATTAATGAGAAAGCTCTCACATCATTTCATGTAATCATTACCCCTGCCAGGGCCATAAGTCACAACTGCTTTGCCCTAGGCATCTGCAAACAGGAACCACGTGAGGCTCTGGCCAAAAAAAAAAAAAAAAAAAAAAGATGATGACAGAGGAAGGGAAGATAAGCAACTGCACTGACTGCTGAGCAAACACAGCTACAGAGAGTAACAGGAGTCACAGGGAGGGGTAAGCAGAGTCTGCACACCTAGAAGCCCTACCTCACCTCTACCTGAAGCAGGACCCCATTTCTACCTCCCTCAAGGGCACCTTGTCTGCAAAGGAACCTGAGGAGCCTGGCTGCAGCCCTGCACCCAAGGAATGCTGGCTGGAGGTGCACCCCAGCTGCAGCCTCCCAGTTGCTCACCATGGGATCTCAGTTGTGAGATGCTCCCCTCATACACAAGGTGACGTGACAGTCTCTCAACCATGAAAGAAGATCCCTGAGACAGCTGGCTTCACATCAAATTTAGCAGGGAGGTGGAAGCTGCAGATGGGTCCTTTCCCTGTCTGACCTGGGGGTGGGAAGCAGACACCAAGCGTGCCTGAAGGACAAGCCAGAAGGCAGCTTTGGACTGTCCTTGGAGGCTGCCCACCTCTTCAACCCCTCAGTCAACAAATTGAAATCTAGCAAGATTAAGCCCAAATCGGACGACAGCTTTGGAGAAGTAACCTCTCAGAGTCAGAAAGCAGAGATCTTACTGCTCTGGAGAGCAATAAACACACAGGCTGGGGGCTATTAGCACATCCTGAGTGGAGAGCCCCTTTCCTGCTCCCCCCGCATCTCTCCGTGAGAGCTGTCAGCAGCAGCAGTGAGAGTGGGTTTAAGTGACTTGTCTGGCAGAGCTATTTCATTAGCAATTTGGAGCCGTGCCGTGCAGAAAGCAGCATTGTTCTCAGATGTTCGAATATCAATCTGCATAATGAAACAGGTGATAGGAGCTCTTCCCATTCAGGCAGCCAGGATTGGAGAGGATTCAGGAATGAGGGGAAGGGGTTATGTCTAATTGGTCACAATTAATTTGATGAGAATTTTTTTTAAAGATTTTGTCTATCACCAAATGGCTCCTACAGAAAAGCACATCTGCACTTATTTATCTGCCTAATGTAGGCTCTGTTTACGCTGTAGAGTGTTTGCCAATAGCACTGAATGCAGATTCCCAAACTCAGCAGGTCCTACAGCATAAAGGCTCTTTTTTATCACTTGATCTACTTTTATACTTTTTAACAAAAATAATTCCATGCTGCATAATATAATGAGCTTCTAAAATGTTGCATAAGTGAGTTTATGTGTAGCATCTTAGACATACACAGCTTCTTTGTGAGGGTTCCTTTCATTTTCTAAGGCCCAAACCCTCAGTTTTCTACTGCTTGAAGCTCCAGCTTTCTAGAATAAGGTCCATAGGTTCAGCTTCTCTGTTGCCTGCTAGCCCAAAAGATCTTGGACCCATGTTAGATACTGAGTTCAGTTCAATTGCCTGAGTGTGTAAGGGCCATTTGAAATGCCTCAGAAAACTTCAACCTGCAAGCAGGTCCCTCATAGCCCCTGTACCAACCACCTGATTCTGGATACTCCAGTGCAGCTATATTGGCTCTAGACATCTACATTTGCACAAGTGAATCCAGCCACTAAACCATCTGGTCCCCAGGATACCTTTGCCCACGAAAAGCATAGGTAGACAGAAGCTGTGGGTAGCATACAGTCCAAAGTGCCCATTACTCTCTTGAATTTGTCCAACACAGC